CTCAATTGATACTAGAATATACCATTCTGTCTGTTATCATTATCTTAGTAGATTCCTGCCAGCTAAGCCTGCGGTTGAAGTCTCTGAAACTACTTCAATAAGAAAACATTAGAACAAAAAAAAAGAAGCCTCACTTTTGCTATTTGGTGATTTATTATTGGATTGAAACTTGCCACTTGGCGACAAATTAATACAATTCCAATGTCAAATAGATTCCTTTGCTACGAGGGTCCTCTTTTGAAAAATGGCTTCGCCAAATTAATAATAGTAATGCACCATTTAGTTGCTTTTAGGGACAAGGATGGTTAACTAGTTAATTAGGCTCCCTTTGGTTATGCTTTTCTTTTTTAAATTTGGGGCCGTCAAAAATAAAGTTGCACCAAAAAATGTTTTAAGCGTTTGGTGAGAGTTGTTTCTAAAAATACTAGGCTGTATTTGATTGTAATGCAAATTTATTTGCATTAATGCAAAATTATGGTAATGCAAATGATTTAGATGCAACTTCTGATTTACTTTTGTATCAAATTTTACCTTATTTTTTATTGCATTATGAATGAAATAAAATAAGACATGAAGTAGAAGAAAGTAAAACCCAAAATTAAAATAAACTAGAATTTGTACTATTCTTTTCATTTGCACTCCCAGGCATTTGTATCAGTGCAAATAAAATTGCACTGAAACCAAATACAGCCTTATGGTCCAAAACATAAACACTTTTAAGCCCTAAACTGCAAAGCCTAAGTGCCTGTTTGGTAGGGCTTTCATGCAGCAGCTTCCCACATTACATGAGAAGCCAAAAATATGTTTGCATGAGCCAAAAAATCGACTTTATAGTAGAGCTATCTTAGGCAGCTTGTCCAAAATAGCTCAATCAGTGCAGAAACACTCGTAAATGGATCCTAAAATTGGAGCTTTAGAAGAATAAATCCTGAAACTTATCTAAATTCAACCTAAATTATCATAGTTACTGCCATTTCCATGAAGCTGCCTTTGGAGCTGTTTATTTGTTCATAGTTCCTCTGAGCTTGACTTTTTAATCATCTCTCTTTTTTAGGATATTATATTATATGTTGGAAAATGGGGTCACTGTAACTTTGGAGGAGAAGCTCTGAGGCACGTTTGAAGACACTGTCTTTAGAACGTTATTTACCCTCACTCAGTTTCACTGAGTTTGCTGTTGGGTTACAAGCAAATCCGTTCCTAGGATACAACAGAACCTTGGGCGAGAATCTGCAAACAGAAAACTTGAAGAATCTCCGGTGAAACCTTCTACGAAACTGTAGTAGATAGGACTGAGAGAGAGAGAGAAAGTGGATTTCGAAAATTTTTGTTTTTGGAGTCTGATTCATGCTCCTTAAATAATTTATGAAGAGGTATGAAGAAAATGTAGGTGCTAGTTTAGAGAAGGCACCTTGATCAGTCACAATTTCAAATATTGTGACTGTTTAAAAAGTAGTTAATAGTTAATGACTGTTAACTTTGAATTGTGCCTCTTGATCACATCCGATTGAATCGTGACCGTTGATCTCATCAATGGTGATCAATGGTCAACATTGCACCAAAACCGAAACCGCCCTTCGTAAGTCACGCGGGTGCGAGCAAAGTGCGCCTCTAAAATACCTCATTGCGCCGCACACACGCGCACATGCGTTGCGCGGTATCAAACCCCATACTCTCCTAATAGGAGTGTAAATCAACTCCTATTAAAATACTGAAAAACAAAACTTATAATTTTCCAATGTGGGACAAGTTCAAAATTGAGTGTTGTAAAAGAAAAACTAATTTTTCAATCAAGTGTATAAATACAATTTCTCATGTAATTGACCAATCAAACTCATTAGATTTAGTCTCTTATAAGATTAAAATCCAACATTATATATCATACTTTCATTTGGTTGACTCAGTCATATTGGGGTCTATTGATATATACATCCTTGATGGTCTTTGTTAAAGAAAGCATAAATGCATTTATCAAGAGGAAATCACCAACTCAGAAGTTTATGCAATTAACAAGTAAAACCCATGTAAAGCATGAGTTTGAATAGAAAATTGGTTAGGTTTGGGTTGGCAAATTCCGATTTTAACATTAGTTTATGTCGGGGTCAAGGTCTATGTTTTAATGTTAGTGTTGGGTTCGCCTTTAACTCAAGTCTACCCATTTAATTTATGCCCTTGTTTTAATATAATGATTTTATTAAAGAAAGTAATGATGGATTTTATTAAATAAAATTAAGACTTAAGAAGGTTTTATTGTTACTTAATTTATAAATAAATAATTTTACGTTTGAGTATCCAAGTGAGAGGACTCTTGGCTTCATTCTTTCTTATATATAATATAGATATAGGTTGAATGACCGAAAAAAAATGTATGAATATAATATAGATAATCTATAATGTCTGATTATCATGTTGAATTTCAAATGGATTTGGATTTAATCCACAACCATCTTATTGTCTATAAGATGGCCAAAAAAATTAAAAAAGTTAAAAAAAATTAATTATTTTTAACTTATTTTTAACTTAAATATAAAATATTAAATTTATCAATTTGTATAAATAATAATTTTTTATGGTATTTAGATTTTAACCAAATACATCTGATTTTATCATTAATCCAATACAAGTTTTAACATCCAAATCTGAGATAATCAGATTTAAAATTAAATCGGATATCAGTAACTTTTAGAATCCAATTACACCCTATAAATATGATAATGAATTAAAATTTTGGACAAGTTTTACCAAATGTTGGGTTTTAAACTTTTGAGATCTCGGTAATTTATTAATCAAAACCAATAATTCGTTTATATTTCATGTGAAATGAAATGATCTCTGTGGTTTGCTCTCACATCCTCAATAAAAATTATTTCACCTAATCAATCCATATTACCTGACAATAATGTGAGTTCATATGCTATGGGGGAAACTAAAACGAAATTATTCCATCTCTCATAAGGCATCCAAACAGAGTACAACAAAAAGAGGTAATTTCAATCCAAGTACTTATCAAATAGGACATTATTGTAATTAGAAGAAATTCTTTTTTAACTGTTGAGTGATAGCAGGAGAGAACCCCCTCGGCCCCTCGGCCCCTCCCCCACAAACCACAATTATCAGAATCAACCAAATCTCGGATCAAATTCCACCAAGCCAACAATCACAATCATTGTTATTGGGATGGGATTGTTTGACAAAGAAATCCAGAGGATCCCAGAATCTTTAACATTGCACCCCAAGTGGTAGCCAAAAGGGTTTCCTTTTTCGCCACAGGACCGAAGTTTCAGTCAATTTCCAGGGAAAAAGAAGTCTGAGAAATGGTGGGAAATAGAGCTGCAGCAGATAAGGGCCACAGATGAGGTCAATGCAGAGGGTCCCCTTCTTATAGCCCAATAAGCTTCCATACCAAATGGGTAGCAACAGAGAAGAAAACAAGGGGAGAGAAAGGCAAAAGAGAAAGAATATTTGTTGACTATAGAAGAGAAGAAAAGAGAAGAGAGCCCAACTACAAAACTAGTACACATCTCTGAACTTGCACCCAAACATCCCTCATTTACCTATATTCTTTAATTCTCCAACGTGTGTACCTTCACTTGTGCGGCACCTGCACTCAAGAAATTAAAGGAAAAGGCAATCCTCCCTCCTCAGTGCGGATTCTGACTTTAGCCACTGACATTGTGAAAGTATTTAATAAGGCCCCCCCCTTCCATCAAATGCGGCCCAGAAACCAGGAAGATCAGACACCCACCAAACCATCTTCGCCATTAAAGCTGTGGGCTCCATTCTCATTTTCTTTTTCTTTTTTTCCATCAACAATGAACGGCCATGAAGCAACACCAAGGACAAGCACCCACTGCTACATTGAGCTCCGTTTGGGAGGAGTACAAATAGAATATTCTTGTTAATCCATTTTTAGTTATGATAAATACACAGTTTTTCATCAGGTTGAGTTTTCCATTGATATAAACCTCTTATAACCAACTGAGGACTGGCTCGTTGGTGTGTTAGCTGGGTTGTTCCAGTATTGACCCAGAAAGTCCTGAAATTAGCACTTTAGAGAAAAAAAGGGTAAAAAGGGGAAACGTAAAATTTTATGGATGTACTTCTACATTAATTATCACATTTTAAAAAATTATAACAGTTCACTAAAATTTGAAAACCATCGTTTAACTCCATTGATTGAGTTTTACATTAATGAAGTTTACACCGTAAACAAACGCAACTAACAAAATTCTCCTCATACCCACCTCACATCACCTAGGCATTTGAAGAATGCAGATTTCCTCATCACACCTACCTCAAGCTAGCACCTTGCAGCCACACATAAAAGATGTTCTTAATGTATGACTGCAAAAATTAGAGGAAAACTCTGAAGAAAATATCGAATTCTATTTTAAATACAAATATATTTTAAAATTTATTATTTTTTTTAGAGTTTAAAATATATTTCATTCATTCAAGAAATTGATACAAAGAATTACCAACAAAATCAATTAAAATTCACACACAATTTTTTCAAGGATGAAAGAGAATCGAAAAATTATAATACATATTTGTATTTATATTCTTTCCAAACCGAGCCTTCACAGCAACGAGAATAGTGAATACCTCACACTTCACCCACCGAAGACTCAATGTTAAGGTTTGCCAAAACAGCAACAAATAAACCAAGCCAACTTAAGAAAAGTATTAGAGTAAGAATTGTATATAAAAGAGTCGGATTTTTTGGCAGTTAGAATTAAAATATTCAATTATCCTTAAACAACTCACAATCCACCATTCAGTTTGAACTTTGAATCGTTTATCACCTTATATGTACAGGGGGAGAAAATTTTGTAATTTTATAGATGTAATTTTTTGAACCGTACAACGAGGGAATGATGATCAGATGCCAGATGGAAATCCCAATACATATGTAAAACTTGCTCAAATATAAGGGTAAAACCGTCTTCAGATAATTATCGATATGCGTCAAAGTGTCAAACCTCAAACGGTCATGGTAATCAAGGGTTGTAGTTGTTGTACTTCCCGAAATCTGCAAGCTTTCTTGATCTGTTCGCACAGAATGAAGCGGCCGTCGACAGACGATGCGGCTTGTTCGACGACGGTACCCTGATCTCACCGGAAAACCCTATCTCCCCGGAGAACCCAATGTTTCGGTGGGTATTGGGGCTCGCCCGCACCAACGGGCTCAAACAAAACGCCAGCCCCGAAACGTTTCGGCTGTGCTGTGCGGGTCCACGCCGTCGGACTGGCGGCGCCGTCGTCACATGGTTCCGTCGGCTTTGGGAGGCATCCGACGAGTACCCACTTGCCCAAGGAGAGCCGTCGTAGTCTTCGTAGTATGGATCATCATCGTTGTCCTTCGCCGGCGACATTCCCCGATCTCTCGCCCGGCATGGCCGACGACTACCAGTGACCGTGGTAGTGGTGGTGGTGGTCTCGTCGAAGGAGAATAGCCGAGATTGTTTTTTGCGGCGACCAGGGAGAATAGACGAGAACCAGGAAGATGAGATCGGAGAGGACGATAAAGTGGAAATTGAATCTCTTGAAGCCCTAGAAATTCTAGATTCATGCGGGTCGTGCTTGCGTCGATGGTCGTCCGATCTGGAGGTGAAAAGAGAGGTGAACAGAGAGAACTTACTATGTTTCTTCTTACGGCCGTACGCGGCGGTGTTTGAGGTGGGACCCACTTGAGGAGTACTATAAAACCGTTGATCGAAGTGATTGTGGTGCCAGGAAGAGTCGTCCGAGCGGCGGCAGACGTAAGGAGAGACGGAGCGGGGGAAGACGAGCGGCTGCGGATGTGGGTCAGATTTCCGGCACTCTTCGGCCTGGGCTCGGGCTTGAGCAGCGATGAGGACGAAGAGGCGTTCACGGAGACAAGAAGCGCAGACGCCGACGCTGCTGCTGAGGTCGGAGAGATGTTTCTGGCACCTCATTTACCTAATTCGCAACCTCTACCTCTCTGTGTTTCTCCCGTCTGCCATATTCTATTCCTCCAATTCTGCTTAAGTTGTGACCATCGATCATACAAACCCAATAAGGAGAAACCTTGCTATTTCTTTTTCAGAATTCTCCACCGCCGACGCACCATGAAAGAGAGAGAATTTGGATTCTGATGCGAGAGCGGAAGCTGCTAGTTGCTGTTGGTGGTGGTGGTGGCTGGTGGGTTAATGGGCGCTTTTGGGGTCTCTCTTTATTTAATCGAGAGAGAGAGAGATGGTCAAAGGCAAAGGCGCAGTGGCGCACTCCTTGTTTTAATTAAAGACACGCGATTCGTGAACGAACCTCTCCCAGTGAATAACTTGTGAGACACAGTGAGAGCGCGAGCAAGAGTAGGATTTATTGTTGTCTGATGAAATTTACACGATGACGAGTGAATGGCGTTGGTTAATGGGCCCAATTTACTGATTGTGCAATGAGTTTGGGCTTGAAATTGGGCTTTACCATGTCTGTTGCGTGTTGGGTTCGGGGCGGTGCCCCGCCCCGTAGTCAAGAATTCAAGATGTTTTGCCTCGTCTTCTACTCGTTTCTGCAACCTGATAGATGGAAAATTTTTGAATTTTTTCTGTTCCAAAGTAATTATTTAAAAAAAATTAATTAATGAATATATTTAAGAATTCAATTATGATAATTTTAGATATTTTAAAAATGAAATTATGGGACATAAGATTTTAAGAATTTAGGAAAAACTTACAAATATTTTAAAAATAAATATTATATTAATTTACCATCGAATTCAATTGTACGTAAACCTATCAGCAAAAATATTTTTTCCATCCCTCTCTCTTTAAGATCAGGGTGGGGTCGGGTGGGGACCCGGTTTTCCGGGGAGAATTTCTGGGTTAACCACTTAAACCTCTTCTGGGTTATCTCAAGAGTTTATGTCTATCTTTGGATACCCGGTCTGTAAATATGACCCACAACAGTTGTCAGGATGGAGCCAACCCAGTCCCTGGCTAACTCGATACAGTTAAAGAGGTTCCTTAAAGAGTGGCCTAGTGGGAGTATTGAGTTTGAACGTGTAAGCAAGTCAAAAGGTCGGAAAAGTCTATAAGTACACATTGATTGTGTTAGACAATGGATGGAGTATTAATGATGTCTGGGGCCATCAAGAAATAAGGGGGATGTCTCAAGATAGTGTGTCTCTTTTCTTTTTCTGCAAGAGGATGGCTATCATTAGACGGCCTTGTTTGAATTTGACCCGCCAACAAAAGCAACTTTTACTGTTAATAAATCTCTCCTGCTTCACGCCTTCACCACTCGAGTTATCTACTTTTCAGGTATACTTAAATAGAGAAAATACATTAAAGGATGTAGAATTTAGAGTTTAGGGTTTTATGATTAGGGTTTAGAGGATGTGGGTCTTATTATATTCACTTAATATTAAGATTTAAAATTTAGAATTTAGGGTTTAGAGGATGTAGGTCTTATTATATCCACTTAACATATTAAGGATTTAAAATTTAGGGCTTAAAGGATTAAAATTTAAATTTTAGGAATTTAGGGTTTAGTTCTAATAATCAGAAGGTGATTGGATGAATGTCCTCCAACGGATAGGAGCCAAGTATTGTGCCTGAATCTACTACCCAGAAATTGTTCCCACATTTCTACTCATAGAACATCATTGCCGTGTATTGAAAATATCTCCCCATAAATAATAAGTGAGGTTATTTAATGTCTTGTGGATAAAAATATGGGAACAGTTTGTGGGTAGCAGATCCGAGCCCCACTTAAATGAAGATAGAAAAGTCATTAACCAATAAACGTTACGGCTATCCAAAGAAGTGGGAGGAATTAATGAATTGGGCACATAACTAACCTCCTGCGTTTTTCTGCACCAAGTGGTCGCACTTAGGGATAATTCACTTTCATTCTTGTCAAGTAAATTCGTCGGGTTAGACCAATGACTCAGTCTCAATCCCACTTTGAGGTCAATCCTTAATTTATTATGTTTTTTTTTATTTTATTTTTTGAAGGCCTTAATTTTCTATGTTACAAAAAAAAAGGGGTTTTTATGGTTTAGTCCGTCTCAGAAATCTTAGTCTCATCACCGTGGAGTGATGTTAAATCCACAGACAGGATATGGTTTATGTTACAAAAAAATAAGGGGCTACTAGGACGGGGCTGTAAATTGTAATCCATCTAATCGATTACTAGGTCTTTGGGGTTTGAATATGGTTTGGCATTAGGTTGTTATCTTCTAAAAAGCAACTATTAATAGATTACTTCTTCTAAGTACGCATTTGGTAGAAAAGTAATAATGTCAACCGTTTATGATAAGTAGGCACCACTAGGTGCCATTATGCTATGGGGCTAATCAATGAGGCCCTGTACGGTATTCGATTGGATCGACTAAGCCTACAAAAGTAAGTAATAGCACATAGAAGGCAACAAAGAATATATATATACGAATCAATCAAAAGACACTTTATATTACATTAAAGATAGCAAGAACAAGCACAAGTTTGTGTCAAGAGGTCCTCATGCTTAACCTTTAGATAGTATTGCCACCACTCAACTATTTACCTCCCCTCAAAGAGTAAATTAATTTTTTGGTGTTCTGACAAAAAATTACATAAAAATTGAAAAATCATATTTCATAATTATAATAATGCTAGGGGCATTCCCCCATACAAAATACATGTGTAATTCCCCCAAGACACACTTGATGGCACTCTGTTGGCATGTCGCAGGCATGAAGAAGGCATTTCATGGTGTGAAAAAGTAGTCACTCATGACAATTAGACACTACATTTGCAGAACAATGAATAAATGTTTAATCGTTGGGGGAAGCATTAAAATGAAACTTCCTTAAATGATAGGCGTGCATATAAATCAATGCTAGATTTTGTGAATATCTATGCGTTCGGATCACCATGATGGGCTAAATGCTGATTTGGTGATGATATGACAATGTTTCAATAAACACTTATCACAAAACAAAACACATACTAAATTAAAATTAGTAAGCAAAACTAGTTTATCAAGTAGTGTTACTTCATTTCCTACAAACCAACATTTCAAATCAAGATTGCTTGTACTATACATTTTCATTTTCACCACCCTCAAAGAGATGGGTTCCATCGTATAAAAGATTTACTCAAAAAAGATTGTTACAACACACTTCTAAACATCACCTGTGTCCGCACATCTCACCATGAGAATAGGACTGACCATGTTTGTGATGTGTTGGCACGTATCATGTTGGAACGTCTTGAAATAAATTTTTGTTGTGAGCAAATCCAAGGTCATAGGGATATAGGGAAAAGAAGGAAAAAAGAAGCAATTTTTTGGAGGGGGGAGAGGGGTTTGTCAATGTGAATGGTTTTGTTTACTAATAAAAAGAAGCTGCCATGTCACCAAAAACAATACAATTTTATTATGGTTCATCCAATGAGACCAAATCAGCCCCCCACAACGTCCCACAGCACAACTCCGCTGTGTATTGGGAACATTTATCAATCATGACATCATCATTCTTGGTTTATCATCGGGAGATGTTCCCAATACACGGTGAAGATGTGCTGTGGGACGTTGTAGGGGCAGTTTTGTTGGGGGCTGATTAGAATCAACTGATTCCTTCGCTGACTCTGTGACGAAAGTGAAAACAACTATACAATCTAAAGGTTCATTTGATCTGTGGGAATAAGGGTTTGGAATTAGTATCGGAATGGTCTAACCCTTTGGTTGGGTGGAATTAAAATCCTATTCAGATTCCTGGTGGAATAGATAGCATCCTTTCATTTTTGGGAATGTTGATTTCCTCTCCCTCTCTTGGAAATGAGAACTTATTCAAACTGGTTCTAATTTGATTTCTAATTCCCATCTGAACCAAACAGGTAAAAAGAATAAACCATTCTCATTCTGATTCTGACTATAAACCAAATAGATCCTGAGTATTTTGATAAAATAAAGGTTAGTACTTAATAGGCATTTTACTGCTATTTTTTATTTTTTTCTTCTTTTCCTTCGTTATTATATCTCTCCTGTATGAACCAAGTTCATATCTGCCCCATACAGAATGTGTCTCAAAAACATCCCACATACACATTTCAGCGAGCATTGAGAACATCTTCTGTATTTGTCATTAGAAGATGTTTCCAATGCAAAATTGAGATGTGTTATGAGATGTTTTTGGGGCGCTTTCTGTGGGGGCAGATGTGAATCCGTATGAGGCAAAAATATAACCTCAAAAAGTAGACTATTTAAGAGACCCCAAACAAGAAAGAAGAACAGAGGCCCTATTCAAAATTCAAATAGAGGATGGTACCTTGAAGGGAGTGGGGGCATTAGCCAGTTGGAGAAAACTCATGCCGGCTAGCAACCGAAAGTATGAAATCGACAACTCAATCATCTTGCTATTCATTAGCGTAGGGACATTTCTTTCATCGGGTCATTCTTACTTTCTTTGGCATTGATTTACCGGGTCGACCCGAATTATTCCCAATTTTCCACCCGGAACTTGACCTTTTGCTCACATCGCACAAGCTAATGTTCAGAATTAGCCCCCGTTTTGGGAGTGCTTATTTTAGGCTGGAATCATACCAAAAAAAAGTAGAATAAGTGTTTGTTCTAGAAAATAAACCCGTTTTGAAGAAGCCCAAATTTTCAGCTTCATTTTTAAGCACTTTTTTTAATAACAAGTACTTATTGCATTTTTGGTCCATTTTGCCCTGTTACATAATTTTCAAAATATCTACACTACCCCATTTGAAAGAAATGATTTTTCACCAAACACTCATAAGCACTTGTTAAGATAAACACTTATTGATCAGTACTTATTTATTCAAATAAACACTTCCGAATGATAGTTCAGATACTCCTGATCTGTTACTCACAAAATGTTCCTATATCTATATACCCATGGAATACTGCCGTCATGAGAAGGGAGATATTCTCAACAAAGATCAAAATTTTGATACTATATGCCAGATGT